TCTGAAGTATGAGAAAAATAACTCCTTAATTATTTACGATGAAGGGTTACACTTATATATATACACGGTATTAGACCTAGAATCCCTACAAATCAGGATCTACAATATCTATCATAATAAATACAAATATTCCGATATATCTTAGAGAATAAAATCAGGAAACTACTTCCCTAGAAGTTAGGGATCCGGTTTAGCCTAGATTGATTTTCTACAGGAACCATTTGCTAGTTGGAGGGAATTCCGGGCAGCCCTGTTGCACCATTTCAGCCGCGCTCGAGAGGGTGATCCAACGTAGAGGTTAATGTCTCTGAAGCAAGGCGGATTGGTGACAAAGTATCGAGACGCTGGCGGTGGCGTTGAGAGGAGTTCCTTAGCCCATGTTTAGGGGAGCGTTTCTGAACGGCTTGCGGGAGGATATACGGGCTGAGGTCAAGCTACACACACCCATCAACCTTCAAGAGGCCATGGACCTGGCCCAGCAGGTGGAAGATCGGAATGAAGCCCAAGACAATTTCAGGAGGCTGCATATGGGCCGGATGTGGAGACTAGATGGGCCGGCCCAAGGTGCCTGTAAAGGGGTCTAGCCAAGGGGTAATTATCCCTTCACTCAGAGCTTCCTTCAGTCCAGCGGTTCGAAGGAGTCTGGAACCTTCCCACGAGCGAAGTCTAACTCTGCCCTAGCTCAAGTGGCGGCGACCAACCGAGAGACGGGATTTCGACGTCTTTCCGACGAGGAGATCCAAACACGACGTGCGAAGGGCCTCTGTTTTCGGTGTGATGAAAAATTCAGGCCAAGACACTGATGTCTCTCAACTCCTTGCTTGGGTTCACCTCCTCTAACACGATGAAGGTAGTCGGGCAGCTGAGGTCTCGCCAAGTGGTGGTGTTGATTGATAGCGGAGCCTCGCATAGCTTCCTAGTGGTGGAGGAGTTGGGGGTACCCTGTGATCATATGGCTAGCTATGGGGTCCAGGTGGGGAACGACTTGAAATTCAGGCAACAAGGGGTGTGCAAGGGGGTGGAATTGCAGATTCAAGGTTTGGAAGACTTCTTCCCCTTTGAGCTGGGCTGTGCAGACGTGGTGCTGGGGGTGACTTGGCTACGGACGCTTGGGGAAATCAGAGCGGATTGGTCTAAGTACACGCTGAAGTTCTTTGACGGCTCTCTTTGGGTTGGGTGGCAGGGCGATCCGACCTTGAGCTGCTCCCCGGTAAGTCTTCATTCACTTTCTAGGCGGTTTAAGTTTCCACAAATGGCATTTTTAATTGAGCTCTATGAGACGGAAGTTAAGATTGAGTCTGAGACCAGTCCAGCCGTTCCACCAGAACCCGCGCTGCAGACCATCGGATTGTCTTGACGGAGGGCGCCACTCCACCGAGTATTCAGCCATACCGGTACCCCTATGTCCAGAAGGAAGAGATTGAGCGGCCAGTGGCGGAAATGCTGGCTTCGGGAATCATTAGGCCTAGTACTAGCCCTTTCTCCAACCTGGTGATTCTTGTGAAGAAGAGGGATGGAAGCTGGAGGATTTGTGTAGACTATTGGGCCCTCAATCAAATCATTGTACCCGACAAATTCTCAATCCCCATAATTGACGAATTATTAGATGAATTGGACGGGGCAGTAGTTTTCTCAAAGTTGGATTTACGGGCCTGGTTTCATCAAATTAGAGTTCGCGACGGGGACATCGAAAAGACCGCGTTCCGTACCCATGAGGGGCATTATGAATTTCTGGTAATGCCCTTTGAACTGACGAATGCACCGGCAACATTCCAATACTTGATGAATCCGGTGTTGGTTTTTTTTTATGACATCCTCGTTTATAGCCGCACTTGGGAGGAGCATAAGTCTCACTTGGCTACAGTGATGGAGGTTTTACGTGCGGAAAAATTGTTCGCGAATCGGAAGAAGTGTGTGTTTGGGCAATCCCGGCTGGGAGTACTTGGGGCAAATAATATCGGCGGGGGGGGGGGGGGGGGGGGGGAAAAGGGGCGGGGTCTCGGCCGACCCAGTTAAGTTGTAGGCAGTCCGGGATTGGTCTGAGCCTAGAAACGTGCGCGATGTCCATGGGTTTCTTGGCCTCACGGGGTATTACCGTCGATTCGTCAAAGGATATGGGGCGCTTGCCGGATTTACCTAAAATGGGGGGGTTCACTTGGACGGAGGCAGCCTCGCGTGCCTTTGAGGCTTTAAAGCTAGCCATGACCACTCTACCGGTATTGGCGCTGCCGGATTTCTCCAAGTCCTTCGTGGTGGAAATCGACGCGTCAGGATCGGGCCTAGGCGCAGTACTAATGCAGGAGGGACGACCTATAGCATATTTTAGTAAGGCTTTGTCGCCTATTTCACGTTTGAAGTTGGTGTACGAATGGGAATTAATGGCAGTGGTCTTGGCAGTTCAAAAGTGGCATCACTACCTACTTGGACGACATTTTGTGGTGCGCACAGACCAACAGAGCCTCCGGTTTTTGTTAGACCAACGCCTACTGCCTCCGGAACATCTTTGTTGGATTTCTAAATTGATGGGGTATGACTTTGAAGTGCAATACAAACCGGGGGCTGCCAATCACGTCGCGGATGCTCTCTCTCGCCGGGAAGATACTTGTACTTACATGGCCTTATTTGTACCACAGTTGCTGGACATCGAAGCCATTAAACGCGAGCAGCAGTCAGAGGCCACGTGTTCCCAGTTGATTTCTCGATTACAGGTTGGCCAGGAAAACGCCAAAGGGTACAACTTGCAGAATGGCCTTCTCTGTTTTCAGGACTGCATTGTGCTACCCCCAAATTCAGTTTGGATTCCGCTCTTGTTACATGAGTTCCATGACTCCGCTTTGGGTGGACACTCTGGATTCTTCCGCACGTACAAGCGGCTCTCTTCCAACGTATTCTGGTCCGGAATGAAGAAAAAGATTTGGGACTATGTCTCCCATTGTGCGACTTGCCAACGCTCCAAGTATGAAGCTCTCTCTCCGGCAGGGTTGCTGCAGCCCCTTCCGATTCCGCACTAGATTTGGGAAGACATCTCTATGAACTTTGTCACCGGACTTCCCCGGGTAAAGAACATTGACACGATCCTTGTGGTAGTGGATTAGCTGACCAAATATGCTCATTTTTGCCCCATTGGCCACCCTGTGGCAGCCAAACATGTCGCGGAAGTCTTCATCCGCGAGTTAGTCCGCTTGCATGGGATCCATCGTACAATCGTCAGTGATCACGATTCTGTTTTCATGAGCTTGTTTTGGCGGGAACTCTTTACGCAATATGGCACAAAGTTGCATCATAGCTCCGCCTACCATCGGAAACCGAGGTTGTCAATTGCTACCTGGAGACATATTTACGCTGCTTTGCCAGTGACAAACCGAGGCTGTGGGCTCAGTTCCTGCCTTAGGCCGAGTATTGGTTCAACACTAATTACAATGCCTCAACCCAGTTCACGCCCTTTCAGGCAGTTTATGGCCATCCTCCTTCTTTGCTCCGCTTCCAGGATGTGTTGGCTAGCACGCCTCCGAATTCAGGGTTGGAGTCCGACCATGTGCCTTTGTTGGTAGAAGATGTCAATTTACAAATGTGGCTACGAAACCAGATGCTTGACTGCTTGAAGCACCACTTGGTGGTCGCACAACACCGCATGAAAAAGTTCGCGGACGCGCACCGACGTGAGGTAATTTTTTCACCTGGTGACTTAGTTTTGCTCAAGCTACGACCATACCGTCTCAAGTCCTTAGCGCGCAAGGTGAATGAGAAGCTCTCACCTCGCTTCTATGGACCCTTTCCTGCCCTCCAACGTGTGGGAGCTGTGGCTTATTGTCTTCAATTACCTCCTGCAGCTCGTATCCACCCTATTTTCCATGTTTTGCAATTGAAGCCATTCAAGGGCAGGGAGTACAAGAACCAGCCACTGCCGGAGCAGTTAACTGAGGAGTTGGAACTCGTGGTCGAGCCCGCTGATATCCTTCGCACGTGTGTACTTCCTGGCGGCAACCCAGATCAGGTGGAAGGATTGGTGGTTTGGCGTGGGCTACCTAGCTGGGAGGCAACTTGGGAACCCCTGGATGTGATCCAACAACAGTTCCCTCACTTGGGGGGGGGGGGGGGGGGATTTACCTATACTCGAAGGGGTAAAAAGGGAAAGACAAGTGACGTGGGCAGGGCTAGTGACATTGCTGAGTTGGCAAGGCCGTTAGAGGAGTCTGTTAAAGAGGGATATAGGGGAGGGGTGGTGCGCTAAGGGGGGGCATCGAATCCTGTGGAAGCTTGTCCTGTTCTGGGAGGGGGAGAGACCTCGAATTTCTCTCAATTTTATCCTTCGTTTCCTTTTGGTGTTTGTTTTGTTTTCCTTCCCGTCTTTCTACTCTGTAGAGTATTGGAGTGAATATTAATAAAAGGAACTAGAACCCATCTTTCTGGGTATTTCATTCAAATTTCCTAGTGTGAATTCTCTTATTTTGGCTAAGGGCAGGGCAGGTACCTATCAGTACATCCTTAGGAGTTATTGCTAACGTGTTTTAAGTGGGATTTATTTCATGATGTATGGGGGTACCCAAGAAAGTTTCTGATTGTCATAAAGAGTACATAAATTTTTCCAAATCCAGTTTGAACTCTGGGAGTGCAGAAAAATATTATGGTGTTCGCCAGAATATTTTCCTGACTTGGCTAAAAAAGTAACAACTGAATATTATTGCTTTGCCTTTTTAATTTTATTTTAGTAACCTATGGAGGCCAACATAGTCATATATATACATATGATTGTATGAATTTCCCTTCTTTTTTTCCCCTTTTCCTTCACAAATTTTATTTACAAGAGAACATACTTTACCTTTATTTAACGGGCACAGTATTTAGATGAATTTGTCGTAAGGATGTAAATTCTTTCCAATTTCTAACTTTTATGCAGTGTCGCTTATAAGTGAAATTTGACGTTCAATCTTGTAAAAGAAGGTGAACAATCGTATAATACTTTTGAGATACCAAGGTCTAAAAGCTAAAATGTGATGCAGGGACGTAAGCGACCGCTGGTCTCTAGTTCTGAATGGCCATGTGAAAAGCCCGCGGAGAGTTCTCCCTCAGCAGTATTAGAATGGCCTCCTTTCGCGCTTCGCTCAGCTTCAGCAGTGAGTTCACTTTCAGCTGAAGAACGAGCTAAGTTTGATGCAGACCTGCTGCAACATAAGGCTGTGAAAGCTTGCCAAGATTTTTTGACAAATAATTCTAGTGCGAAAAGTGATGATGATGAAGATGAAGATGCGTCTGAGGACAGTGATGAGGATGAAGATGCGTCTGAGGACAACGATGAACATGATGATGAGGACGGGAACACAGATGCATCCAACAATGCTAAAGAGTTCCATTTCTTTTTGCAATTATTTATAGACAACAACAAATTGAGGGAATTTTACGTCAAGAATTTTGAAGGTGGGGAATTTTGTTGTCTGGTTTGTAGTGGGATAGGGAATATGGTGTGGAAGAGGTATATAGGCTGCGTCGCACTTGTGCAACATTCAAATTCAATATTAAAGACGAAGAAAAAGGTGGCTCACAGAGCTTATGGGAAAGTTATTTGTCAGGTTCTTGGTTGGGATTTTAATCGGTTTCCATCAATTGTGTTGAACGGTGAATCTCATGGTCAATCCTTGGCGAAGTTGGACAGTTTGCAGGTAACTATTTCTCAAATGTGTGCGTTTAGATACGTAAAACTTATTACTAACTGGCTTTAGCTCATGATGCAGGGTGAACCCGAGGAAAATTCTGATGGTCATAAAAATGATTTGTGTTGTAAAAACAATTTGGATTCTTTGGATGGTGATAATAATAGTGAAATAGTTTTAGAGAAGTCATCTGAATGACACGTCAATGACTTGTGAGTTGCATGCGAATTGTAGTTCGCATGCTGAATCCTTGGAAAACTCAGCCGAGTTGCAGGTAACTATTTCATACCTGTAATATGATAAAAATATTTTATGCTTCTAGAGCTCTTTGAAACCAATTTGACTATGGCTTATTCGAACGTTGCAGGATCAACCTGAGGGAAACTAGAAGCTCGTGTTCTCCAGGAAGAGACTCCAAAGACTCTTGAATTATTAGAAAGGATTCACTTCATAAAAATGGTACTTTTCAGAGTAAAACTGCTCTTTAAACCAACAGCTTGCTTAAGAGTTGTACCACTTCTAATTTTCCGTATAAGAAGGGGAACCATTGAAGTGAATTACCTATCTTTGATGGACAAAGTCATAGTCCCAACAAGGTTTCTCCTTGCAACAAGGCTAGAGCTTTTTGCCTTGCGAAGGCCGGAGTAAGGATGAAAATGCAGATGTCGAAGGAAATATTTTGCGTTTGAATTTACGAAAATATTGTGGATTTGAATTTATGGAATTATTGATGGATAATGTTGGTGTTTGAATTTTTCTTTTAAATAATGGATATTTGCATAAGAAAATGTAAGTTTCACGTGATTGATTATATAATGATGCAAGAGGACTAAGCGAATCTAAAACTAATATGTATTTCTTAATAAAATTATATATAAAAGTAAATAAATATACTATGAGTGTAGTATAATGAATAATATCCTCTGGTTCACCTTATGGGCAAAATATACTATACATATTCTTTTGGAGGGAAATTTGTAATGTCATATTTGTTTCAACAACTCAAACTCAACCATAGTTTAAGATTCAAATTGATATTTGATAAATGAGGAAAATTTAAACTATAAACTCTTAATTTTAGAATTTACTCCTCGCATAAAATTCTAACGATCCAAATTGTTTTCATACAATTCTGATCTTTTTTTTTCTTTTCTTAATTTCAAGTTTAAAAATGTCATAAATTTTGTTTTAGTTCTGATTAGGATAAATTTTTTTTTAATCTGTTCATAATGAAGAGATGAACAAATTCCCATCAATATTACATATTTTTTAATGTCATTTACAATGAGGTTTTATAATTACAAAACTCTAATTATAGTTTTCAACACTTTATTCAAGTACAGTTGAATTTTATTACCAATTCAAATTATAATTTATTTGCGTATCTAAACAGTAGCTTGAAGCGCAATTCAAATCACTACAATTTAAATTAAATCACACAATCCTAACTGTCAAGCAAACAAGGCCTAAATTACATCGACATTTGCATTGCCCTTGCGACAAGCGATGAGCAAGTCTCCAAGGTTCGCGTTCTACACCCATGGAGGCGATGTCTTTGGTAGCTAATGTCTTATTCTTTGGCATTCTTCTTCGACTGAGCCTTTGCAATTGCTGGTGGTGACAACAGCTAGGATTAGATTAGATCAAGAAGGTTTTTTAGAATTGGGGGATTAGGCTTTCAATTTTTTTTCTTTTTTAAAAGGAAACTTGCATTTAACTAAAAACATAGAAATAAACACACATAATACAAGACCCATCAGAAAAATAGACGTATGCCTGAAGCCCGAAAACAGAAAAAAATCTCGGTAGTCGATTTGAAAAACTGCTCCCATCGAGACAATCTTCCTAGCTTTGGAGGAATAGATCACCAACCCCCACATAGAGAGGACATCAGCAACACGGCATAAATAAAATTCTAACAAGACCAAAAAAACCCACACCATTGGTAGACAACCTAACCAGGTGGGAAATACAACCAGAGCTGGAAAGTGGGGAAACCACCTCTATTATTACAAAACAAAACCGAACACACACTGGCGACCAACAACTAAAGAATGGTGACAAAGTTGCCTTTATTACACACCAAACACAACCAAAAACTAAAATAAAGAGATAACTAAAAGATATCGATTGAATTTCTGAGAGACAGCCGACCGCCACCAAGAAAGACCGAGAGAGCTGCAACAAACCAAGCGATATGAGAAGATGACAAAAAGGGCCAAGCCACCGCTTCCATCCCTTGCCTCTGCCAAAAGAAAGAGCTTCACGACCTATGGAACCGCTGCCCCAAGAGACCCGAAACCCCTACTGAGCAAAGGAGAACCAAAGCAGCCACACGGCACAAAAGTTCCCATCCGCCTCAAAACCTCGAGGAGGACTTCATCCACTCCACCCCTTCCACCGTCTTCGACCGCCGAGCCGCATACAAGCCCCTTCTAAGGAGCATGATATTGAGAAGACCCATCCACGGTGTCCTCATACTCGCCAATGCACAGATGCACAAAGTGTCGGTAGCCAAAAGCTCGCTACAAAAAGCCTCTCCAAAACCCGCATCTCCCTCCCAAAAAAAAGGCGTCGTTGATGTTTTACTGGAAAATCTAAATCCACTACATCTGGGAGCCCTCCCACAGGGCTAGGAGTCCGGAGCACCGCCAAAGAGCGACACCGGACTTGGGCCCTTTGAAACCTACAACAAAGGCAGCGCAAAGAAGAGAGGAGGAAGAGAAAATCGTAGCGGGGAGAAGGGGAAAGAAACTAGAAAAGGTGTTAGGGTTTCAATTTGAGGACTTCTTTTGGGTAAATAATATATTTATTAAGTAAAAAATTGTAAGTAGTATTTCAAAAGGGAAAAAAAAATAGCAAAAACTTGTTAAAAATTTATAAATTATTTATTTACCAAGAAAATGTCTAAATTGATAAGTTTTTGTGCCTTAGATTACTCTCCAAATTATTAGATATTTTAAAATTTTCAAAAATTAGGACACGTAAAAATATAATATAAATGTGGTTGGAGGCATAGTTTAAAGACAATATAATATGTATATATACATATTTATATATATATATATAATATGTATATGTAGATATTTATATATATAGGGTCACCCCCAGTTCAGCAGAGGGTTTTTGTCTTTTTCGATTTGGCACACCGTTGACCATTTGAGGGGTATGCTAATGTAATTTCCCTAACATCTGACACAGAACAAAGCGCTAAAGTGGAAAGAAAATGTAACGATTCTCTTACGGACGCTATAGGAATCGTTACTTACAACGTTAACTTTAACTGATCTAAATTGTAACAGAAATTAAATTAAAACATAAACCATAGGAATTTATTTAAAAGTTTTTTTTCTTACTTGTTCGTCCTTACCACCTTGGCTAGCCCGACGGGATACTAGATGAATCTGGCCAACCGACCAACAGCAAAATAAGTTAGTTTACTAGAACATAACATTTAACAACAGAGACATTTAAGCAAAGAAGTTCACTATTTTGAAATCAAAATGAAACACCAATTACTAGCAAATCCATACATCACATAAAGATAATCTCTAAGTTATAAGAAACGACCTAAACCACTAAATATTCAAAATTTCAAAGGTGTTCAATTGCAATCAAAGTCTCAAAGCTTTCAAAGTGTGGAACATAAATAAAATAGACTTATTAAAAACATATAACTTCAATTTTGCCGTTTTTTTCTTTTTTCAATTCTACATTCCCTGCGCACACGCTTGTTCTCGCCCTCCATCCTGAGTAACATGCTTCTTATCCTTATCTGCAATATGGTTTGAAACTTAAGTAACCAAACTAAGTATCTCACAAAATATAACTCTAAAAATAATCATATTTTTAACATATTTAATTCCATATTAAATAGTAAATAGATAGTGTTTCTTGAATAAATTTTTACACGACAATCAACTTTATTTCAAAACGATTACTCTTTTTTTTTTTTTTCCTTCAGAATTATTTTGTTACATTGCCAATAAATAGGTTTAATTAGGTCACATATGTTCCGCATAATGTTATACACATTGTTACACGCAACGTCACATAAGTTACACATAAATTATCAATAAATAGTTTTAACAATTTTTACCATGTCCATTGCCAATGTTACACACAATGCTAAAAAGGTTCATGTACATATGACTTGTCTAAATACAACACTCTAATAACCAAAAATTACCATGTCATTTTCCCATATTCAAAAAAAAAAAAAGGCTTCGTTTCATTTAATCAAGAAATTAATTTAAAGTATGCTATATATGAAGAAATTAATTTAAAGTAAGAGAATTAAGCGTTTTGGATTTTTTTTCCTTTCAAGAACATAGCGTAGCACAACTAATAATATGATGGACGAAATATTTAGACAACATCCCTACCATCGAGTTTAAAATCAGAAGAGTAATTATACTAGTAGAACGTTTCATACCGGATGCTATTACGATTTTTTTCAGGAGATAAATAGTATTTATTTTTGCAAGGAATGAAATAAATAGCAATTTTTTATAATATAGTAAATAGAAGTAAATATGATATCATCATATTTATCATATGATCAATTTGATTAATCTAGAATTTACTCAGATTTACCTATAATCAAAATGATAATACGGGATTTACTAGATTTACCAATGACTATATTTGATAAATTCAGGTTATTTCACGATCACGTTTGACAAATATGAGATTAATCAAATGTACTCCGATCACATCAATATTATATTTGGTTTCAACAATATTTACATGTTTTTCATTTACATAATCTTTGCTAAATTTTTAGTTTAATAAATTTACCTTTTTACCCTAACAAAACATGTGTATTATAATAAATGCTCAAAATTAATAGCTGAAATATGCTAAATAAGAGTAATATTCCAGGAGTTTCATGAATTCATACCCTAAAACTTCATATATAAACATTCAACTTCAAATAATACACTCAGATTGATACAATTTACTCAATATAGCTAAGATGGCGTCTCAATTTTCCACCGAGACCTTAATTTATCTCTCACAAGTATCCAAATTGAGATGTTGCTTTTTAACACAAGTTTCTCTTTTTTTTTTGGGGTACTTTTTTCCCAAACAAGTTTTAAACTCACATCAATACCTTTAATAAGATCGTGGACATAAAATTCAATCTCAATAGTCTTGAAAATTGTTACACCATAGTCGAGGAATCAACCACTCTATCAAACGACAAGCGCCGAGTATCCCCCGCCAAGGTCGGTCACTGGCGTCGAGATGCGTCGACCACAATGACTCGACTGCTGGAGGCCACTGCGTTGAGACAACGTTTCCAGTCAAATCCATCAGCGGTCTTATCAACTCGGGGAAGGACGTATTGATCCAACGGCTACTGTAGGAGTCAGGAAATCAGGCGGCAGATGAGAGGGATCAGCCGCATTTCCTGAGGTTGTCATCATGAAAACTCACCTACCCACCCGTAAATCGAGGGACGGAAGATGGCTTCCTCCTTGGGAACGGCGAAGGGAAAATCACATGTAAAAGGCTTATAAATAGAGCCAAGAAAACGGAAAAGAGGGTTACGTACTATTTCATCACTCCAAGAGGGTTTGTAATCGAAAAAGATATTAGTGCATTCACAAGTGGATTAGGCAAAGAATTCTTGCCGAACCACTATAAATTTGTCTCATTTACATTATTCCCCAGCTTTAATCTTCAGTTAAACCGCGAGTGTTAGCGAGAGTGTCTTTGGAGAGTAAGTAACGCGTTGTCAGAAAAACACCGTCAACAAAAATAAACAGGTGGAGCGTTCAACCAATTGAATAGAATGACTACCTATAATATAAATCGACCATTTTATTACTCATTTTCTATAAAGTAATAAACTTATCTTTTTTTTTTTATGCGTTCACAACGAAAAGATGAATAAAATTACATTTATATATCATATTAAAATTTTTTATCACTATTGAGTTTTTATTAAAATAATATCTAAATACAAATTTAAGTTTTGACCCACCCAAATACAAACTCACATATTCTTAATTCAAACCATAACTCAAATGTGCATATCTAAACACAAACTTAAATTACAATTTTAACTCAAATTATAACTCAAAATCTACACTCAAATAATCGTAACTTAAAAATATAACCGAATAAACCTTTATTATCCGGTCATTTTAGCACAACACAGACCCCTTTTTTATTATAAGCAACGGTTTCAACGGTAATGTAGCTTTATTTCTTTTTATTTTTTGTTTTGACAGGACAAGCACACTAGTTTTCCTTTTTTTTTTTTTTTTTTTTTTTTTTTTTTTTTTTTTTTGAACGCAACACTTTATTCTCACTCCCACGGGAAAAAAGAGACCAGAAGAGTGACAATGCTGATTCAGGACCTCTCTCTCTCTAAAACCCTAAACCCTCCCTTCTCTCTCCTCCACCGCCCATCTCTCTCCCCATTCTCAAACCCTCTCCACAAAAACCAAACTTTCAAACCAACAAAACCCACGACAAAACCCCACTTCACAATCACTTCCCTCTCCAAAAACCCCCCATCATTTCCTCGCCAAATCCGCCGCGACGTCCGCTCCTTCGCCGGCAAGACCAAAAAGAACTCCGGCGGCTCCGGCGGCCGCATCGAGGGCAAAGCCGAATTCCTCCGAGAAATCAAACGCAATGCCCGGCGCAGGAGCAAGAAATACGCCGAGTCCCTCTTCTACCGCCTCAAGAACCCCCACCGGAACCACCCGGACAATTTCACCGAAGACGAGCTCCAGGAGATTGGCCTCGGCTACGACCGGATGGTCCGCTTCATGGAGAAGGACGACCCCAACCTCCGCCACCCACACGACTGGTACAAGTACGGCGAATTCGGGCCCTACTCGTGGCGCGGGATCGTCGTGGGCGACCCCGTCCGCGGGCGGTTCTCGGACGAGCGCGTGGCGATGATCAGCGAGGTCCGCGACGCTGAGGAGTGGGAGAGGATTGCGCAATTCGAAATGGGGCAGAAGTTTGGGAAGAGGTTGGAGCAGATGGATAGGACTAAGTTTAGGTACTTTTGGGTGTTTGTGAGACACCCGAGATGGCGAATTTCGGAGCTGCCATGGGAGCAATGGACATTAGTTTGTGAGGTTGTGGTTGAGGCTGGGAATCAGAGATTGGATAAGTGGAATTTGATGGGGAGGCTTGGGAACATGACAAGGTCTTTGATAACAAACTGTGCAGCTTGGATGAGGCCTGACATTATATACGTTAAGAAGCCGGTTTATCAGTGTAGGTTTGAGCCTCAGGCCAACTTTTTCGGGGCGCTGATGCCGTTTCTAGACCCAAAAACCGAGCGGAATTATCTCTTCGAGTTGGAGAATGATGATGGGGGTATTGAATTTGTTACATATTTTGGTGGGTTGTGTAAGATTTTGAGGGTGAGTCCTAAAGCGTTTGTGGATGATGTGGTTAAGTGTTATGAGAAGCTGAGTGATGAGAGGAAGTCAAAGTGTCTGGGGTTTTTGCTTAAGAACCATCCGGTGCATTTGCTGCATCCGTATACAAAGGAGTGGAAGGCCAAGTTGGAGGAGTTGGAGTTGGGTTGCGATGCACCAGATGAGGATGATCGTCCGAGGGGCGATTCGGGTGAGACCGAGATTGTGGACTGGATTGAGGAAGAGGATGATGATGTAGTTATGGAAGATGGTAGGGATGAAGAAGAGGAATATAGTGATGAAGAAGAAGAGGAAGAAGAAGAAGAAGAGGAAGAAGATGAGGGCCACTGGGAGGAGGAGTTCCAAAAGGCGGTGAATAGCTCGGAAGAAATGGAGAAGTTGGTGAAAAGGAGTGTGGAAGTGACTACTGAGCATTATAAAAAGCAAATGAGGGAAATGGAGAGGGAAAATGAGAAGGGGAAAATGGCGAATTTCGACGATGGAGATGAAACTCAGCTGAGGGGGAAACGGCCTAAAGTGAGTCCCAAAGAGTGGAAAATTGCGGGGATCGGTCCATGGAGGAGGAGGATTAAGAAGAGTAAAATCCCTCCTGAACTGTTTCTTAGAGCAGCAGTTAGGCCTTTCACTTACAGAAATCTTATCAAGGAAATTGTTTTGACCAGGCATGCAATTTTGGATGGTGATATTAGTGCTGAGGATAAGATATTGTAAGAAAAGCAAGAGTGATTATGATCATTATTCTGCAGTTCATTCCAAACTCAAATACTGAATTTGCTTAATGCCAGATCACAAATTGGGTAATTTGAAAGCTTTGCAGAGATCTTGATGTGAAGATTAAATTCTGTTTGTAGTTGAGAAGCTTGCGATCCTCTGATGATGAGATGTAGCATTATCAGAAACTCTGCTTTAAGAAGATCTTAGTAAAGAAATTCAATATGCAAAATGTTTAATCTGAAACCTAAAAGTGTAGAGATTGTTCTGATGCAATGTGGTATCTTGGGAGATTCTGAGCTTCTGTCTACTCATGAACCTATTATTACCTATGTAAGTTCATTGGTCTAATTAGACGTGCAATGGACAGCTTTGTAGTGTTGATCTCATTGTTAGGGGCTTAGTTTTGAGAGCCCATTTGTTAATGTGGTTGTGATTTCACATCTTTCTCCCAAGTCTTTCAATTTTACCCTTTTTTAAGTATATTGTATCCACAAATTTTTTAGTGCAGGATGTCAAAATTTTGTATTATATTCCGTCAATTCTATTTACTTTTTCGTTTTGATTTTTAGTGTGATTTTGATCAAATTTAAGGAATGGAACATGCCTTTAATTTATTATTCAAAAATAGAAAATGAAATTGGACATAATTTGTGCCGAGTAATTACCGCTTCAAAAGGGTTCACTGTCGTCAACTTGTGTCTTGACTATTCAACTTCATTATAATGACCCTTTCCACTTTGTTGTTGTCAAAGAATCTTGTGCATCATTTCAATACATCAAAACCTGGCACAAAGTGGTCACCTACCCCGATCATCTATTATCTGGCTTTATAGGTAAACCACCAAATACGGGGTCACAAAAAAATGAATCTAGACACATTTAAAACTCCGTTCATTTCACCGATTTCTATTTACAATTTGAGTTTTACTACAAATCATCAGAAATAGTCACATCTAACTTTTTTACTATAATAAAAACTCTAACATAAAATCACATTGCAACTCGAATTAAAAACTTAAATCAGCGAATTAAATGAATCTTAAAATAAAACTAATTTAGGCCCCGTTCACTTCGCCGATTCGAGTTTAGAATTCGAGTTTTACTACAGTAAAAAACTCTCAGAAACAGTCACATCTAACTTTTTTGTTACAATAAAAAGCTCTCACATAACATCACATCTTAACTCGAATTAAAAACTCAAATCAGCGAACTAAACGAGCCCTTATTATTTTAAATTCAATTCTTTGACTTGCATAGATCTTGGATAAGAATTCTGCAGCAAGAATTCGACCTCTTAAACCGTGTGGAGGATTTGCCTGGATATCTTTTTTTTTTTTTTTCCTTTAAATAAATGATTTGCGTGGAGATCTGATCGATTGCTCTGAAAGCAACTTTTCATCCAGAACGCGCTTTCCTTTATTAGGGGCCATGTCTAACTACAATATATCCTAGTCTCAGAGACTGAAGAGGAGAAAACAGAAATAAGAAAACGTAGAAAGAATCATCGACTAAAATTCAGCAAATTAACTTTAAGCTCAGTCCTCAAATCAACGTCTTACGTAATTATTTTCAAATTTACATGTAGAATCTAAAAAAGAAAAAAAAAATCGTGCTTTGTTATTAATAATTTTAATACAATATGACATGCCATAATCATACAATAACATGTACACGATAAGCTCCCCCAATCAAAGCTTAGGTAATTAAACAACCTTGTGGAGAACTTATGGCGAACTCCACAGTTAACGGTCTTAAATTAACATACAAAATAAAATATAATTACTCACACGCCAGTTTTGTGCCGAAGCTGGTAAGGCAGATGGCAAATGCTTGGAATGCTGATAAGGGCCGTCTATAATCCATGGTAAAAGTATCATCCCCAACTTTCCCAAACTGGAGTAGAACTAATTCCTCATCTCCTTTTCCTCCCGGTTGGCTTTGGTCCATTGTTGCAACCAGTTGAAAGTTTTTCACCGACGCAACCGTAACCCGACCATGGAAATTCAGACACCAACATTGCAAATTTTCATGCCACCTTGGGGCTTTGTTTTTCAAAACTGTGCCAGAAGCAGAAGATTCAGATTGCTTCATCTTCGAGTTGTCTAGAGCTTTGTCAACAGACGACTCGCCAGACCATGGGCAATTCAACGAGCAAACCATCCTTCTCGGACCTCTTGATTTCAAGAGGTTGAACTTGTAAGAGACATGCCCAACCTCAAAGTTGCCTGCTGGAACTTGGGGGCTTATTTGTTTGCTTGCAAAACGACGGCTAGATCTACTGCTTGATGGCTTTGCACCATTGTGTGGTGGCTTGCTATCATAGATTGTAAAATTGGTGCCAAGAAAGTCCGAGCTGCAAAGTTTTGAAATTAATAAGAGAAAATAAGATGAGGGGCACATTTACAAAAGAAATAAAGGATTAATAGAACAGTTCATAGCTGACAAAACAAGTTTATGCTTTTCTCACTGTAAAAAGTTATTCAACCAACATAAAGAATAAAGTAAGCCTGTACAAACTCCAGACAGAAATAAGAACATTATAACAAAACTATTGAACTGAATTTCACAATTTAAAGGAAACTTTACGATCTGCTGATGAAAAGCAGAGGCGCCAAGTACGGGGAAAATAAACTCACTTTCTAACACGTTATTAGTGACATTGTGTGGACATTAACATCGTAAAAATCCAAGAATGTGACCTATCTGCCCTACTAAACATCATATTCCTTGTTCAAAGAACAAATTTCTACATAATGTTAGGCGCTTCGCTTTTCAACGAGAGACCAGTTTCAATTAACTGAACCTTACTTCAAAAATTCATGACTCTTTGCTATAAAAGTAACATGCATCTTGGACTGTGGGGCAAGGCAATTATTAACCTCTTAGGTTTCAACTCATGGCTCATAAACATGAGGTCTCCGCAAAGGAAGACACTTATTATCTTGAATTTCCACCTGGGTCAATGATGTTCGCACTTCTCTTCGTTGTTCAAGTCTATTGACTGACTGAATAATATGCAGAAAAAATCTGATGTAAGTTGTTTATGCACCAGATAATTTTGATATTGCTTTGTAGAGGATCAATGCACAAATGGCCCCAGGTGTATATCAAAGGTCGGACACAATAAGTATAAGGTGCTTTATTAGCCCGCAAGATATCAGGTCTCGACCTCGGTAAGGTGCTTTATTAGCCAGCAAGATTTCAGGCCTCAACCTCAGTGCAAACTAATTTTAAGTCAATACAAGGTACCACATTTGTCATTGCCTAAGATCTCACCTTATCTTCACTTAATAAGAATGTCATACCTCAACTTTCCAACGTAAGCATTACTGCCTTGTGATAGGTCATCAGCGTCAAGCGATATTATATACTCGGCATGAGCCCCATGCCTATACCTCCGTGCAGCTAAGAGAAACTTTCCCTTATCTGTGAATGCTGCGCAAGGACATCGAAAAAAACAAAGCTTTAATCGGCAAGAAATTCAACTACACTTGCATCATGCAAGATGTCAACAACTAACGACAACCAACAGGGAATTTTCTTAAAAAGAAAAACAAAAACAAAAAAAAGGAAAAGGAAAAACAAATACTACTGCAACTTTATATGCCTACGTATATTCACAAAGATTTCATTTACTGAAGAATTTTCATTAAAAGAAAAAAGACAAAAGTCCTTTTACAAATTGCAAATTTGCCGATCCCTTTGAGACATTTCATATCAGCAGATATGGCCAATTGTTACTTCTTAATGTTAGATGGTAAATCATAATATAGCTCTAATATATAATGGTTTATAACATTTTTCAAAGTACTAAAATTTACACTCTGTTAGTTGTAAATACTAATAATCAATGATCCCAGTTGTATGGAACTTGCTAAATTAAGTAGATAAGCAAACTTTAAGATAAGATGTCATATGTTCTTAAAACTTATCATGAAGAATCAAAGAAGCATATTTGTGCAACTTGTCTTCATCCATATATAGGTCTTGAGTAACTTACGCCTCTGAAGTCAAATTTGATGTCAAAAAACAGCTTCAAACTAGAATGACTTTTGGGGAATACATACGAGTCAAAAAGCTATGCAAGACCAAAGAAAAAGATTTAGCTTCTCATATAAAAAGTATGAATTTCCACTTTTAGACCTAGTCAAAATAACTAAAGAGTTTGAGAAAATCTTTTAAAAATAAGTACCCACAAAAAAAAAAAAAAAAAAAAAAAAAAAAAAAAAAAAAAGAAGAGCAAAGGTATGAACAAGAATAAGAGTAAGTCAACCCAGAACTCGTTTTCATGTTTTATGTTTTACTTTTCTAACAAGATAGAGAAAGTCAGTTTCCATGTTTTAAAACTTTGAATCTATCACAATTTTCTCTTCTTGTTCTACAAGTTTGAATCTATCAAGAATCAACATTTACTCACATGGGGTAAGGGCCAAATATAGGTAAAACGTGGAAGTCTTCTTATTCCTTTTTATGAGGCACTGATGAGGTAAATCGCGCGGCCCTGGCTGTACTAAGCACAAAAAATTAATCAATAACAAGAACTACAAGAGCTAATGACTTAGAAAGTAGAATGCAATCTAAAAGATAAATGTTCTTTCCGTTTTATACAGTGCACACTGCAAAAAATGACAAATCACATTTCACTGTTCATCTCAATAAAGGTTCCGCTATTGTTTCTGAGAAGCGGACGTGAAATTTTGTTCATCTATCTACAAACATGTTATAACACTGAAATCTGCATTTCAGTTTGATCTGAAAATTTTGTTTTATTTTTCTGAAATGGACAATTTTCATTTAGAAAAGGAATATTGCAAGATAACTTGAAAATCGATAATTGAAATATCCCTGCCTTTAAGGGCAACGTGAAAGGATTAAAAGAAAAAATAAATAATTGTTTTTAACCTTTTATCAGATTATTATCTATATTTTAATTTTCTTCCCTCATCCAAAATATAATCAAATCAAAGTGTGTCCCAGAATTCACGAAATAATCGCACATAAAAGAAATTTATCATTCCACACTAAAATTAGTAAATTACGCCTAAACAATCACAGTCGAACTCCTGAACACAATCCAAAATCCCAATAGTGAAACTAAAGCTGGATAGTGCGAAATTCACGAAATTGCAAGGGAAAGTAAAGCTAGAAAATGAAAATTGGCACTGCCAAAGCGACGAAACCTGTTTGAGGCAAGAAGGGAAAGTGATTCTGCCAGTGCGGGAAGGAGAGCGGGCGATCTCCTTGGCGACGTCTCTCCACCGCTTGCAGACGCACGCGCAAGCGACGACGTTCCGGCGGTTCGGCCACCGCTCGTCGCTCACCTCCACTCGCCGCATGATCTCGCCGAGGAGCTCCGGGAGCATGGCCGACCATGACGATGCCGACGACGACGACGAGTTGCCGACTCGGTCCTCCAAGTGGTCGGCGAGTCGGCGACCGCCACGCGCCTGATCTTCCTCTTCCGCCTTCAGCTCCCTGAAGGATTTGGAGAATTTCCGGGACCGGAAGGCTCTGCGCAGAGACATGTCTGCTCGTCCCCTAGGGTTTCACTGCTGCCATGAGAGAGACAGGAGAGAGAAAGAAGTGAGAAATTCGGAGTTTTGTTTTCGGACAAGGAGAAGGCAAGAGGGGTCAAATTAAAAGTGATGGTGGTAAGTTGACGGAGCTGTGAGGCGTAAGTGGGAACGGGTGAACGATTGGATTATTGGGAGGAGAAAGTACGACGTGGAGAAAGCGTTGGCTTTTGAAAAATGACGGGGCTGTGAGATTAGCGTTCCGGTGAGGGTGGTGCTGCCAAGTCGATGTTTGACTCGGTCGTCAGCAATAAGTCTATAATCTACGGCGCTTACAGTGAATTTACTCAAGAAGACCAGTGTACTTTGTACTATCTATGAAGTTACTGATCTGCCCTTAACTTTGCTTTCACACTTCCATTTTCTACGACTTTGTCCTTTTATCATATATACCTTACTAGATTTGGTCAAAAATACATCAGTAAGGAAAAAAATAGCTATTTATTTTGTACCTCGCATTTTTATTGTGTATTATATCCTCATGTTAGAGAAATATATATAACAGACAAATGTTAGTTATAACTTTTGACTACTAAAATGACCAAAATATCCTTGAAAGGAAAATGAAGGAAAAAAAAACTTCAAATATTAGAGGACAATAACGAACACAACCAAAAAGAAAATATCCCTCTACTTAGATGCGCACGAGGAACTCTATGTAAAAATGATTTTTTTAAAAAAATTTATTAGTAAAATAACTTTTAAAAATTTTCATTTTGTAAAAATTTATAAAATGACAACAAAAGTTTTATACATATCGTTTACAAATTATTGTTGTATCATAACTTTTAGGGTATCTTATAAATAGTCTTTAAGGTTTGCACTTAATTATACTTTACTTCATAACTATTAAAGCATTCTATATTTAGTCTTTAAGATTTTATTATGTTTCTAATTCGATCATTATGTTAGTTAAGTGTTAAATATTTAATAGAATCTGCATAAATTAAGAACAAAAATTGCAAACATCTAAAATTTATAGAAATGTATAGAAATTAACTTTTAATTGTTGTATTATTTTAGTCCCTAAACTTTTAATATTTTCAATTTTGAATCTTAATTTATACAGATTCCGTCAAATATGTAACATCTAGATAACGGAACGACTAAAATTGAAATAAATTAAAATCTCAACGACCAACTATGGTTTTAAAACTTAGGGACCAAAATGAGATTAAAGGTAAACCTCAGAGACTATTTGTGAGATTAATCATAACTTTCACAATTATATTTATTTCTACTAAAATTTCATAAATAGTTTCTCTATTATGTCTATAAACTTTGTAGGTTTCCGAATTAAATTTGGGTGCGGAAGTATGGAAACACGGATTGATTCCGAACAAAAAATTTCATAAAACTTTTGTGAACGTTATAGAATATATTAATTTACAATGAATAAATTAACCTAATTAATTTAATTCAGGTTTTATACCTTACATCCGATTAGGAGGATAACTCTAGTCTTCAACCACAAACAATACAAGCGCTCCTGTTCCTTAGACTATCACAAGGCTTCCTCATCAATTCATGTATTATAACAAGACTGTGTGTGTGGACACACCTGAAAACAAAATAAACGTTATCACTCGTCTCACAAGTCTTCCAAAAACTCATTAATGTCTCTCTTTCTCTCTCTCTCTGTTCAAGAGATGAGAAAACAAAAACAAAAAATGAAAAACGACTAAAAGTTATTTTTCATTTCTCTCTCATTTTACACTAAACTAAAAAATCGTTTTCATTTCTGTTTTTTATCTTTATTGCTCCAAACGTCGTTTTAGAAATTTTTTCATTTTTTCTTTCTCGAAAAAATAAAAAACAAAAACGGGATCAATTCTAAACACGACCTTTGCTTTTTTGTTCTCTATTCTTTTTTTTCCCTCCGAAAAGAGAGAATATTATTCAAGAACTAGGTGTGCGTTTGGTTAGTGGATTCGTGTCATGGTTCGGATCATGGTTCATGGCTCAGTACAATGTTTTCTCTCATAAAAAAATATACGTAAATCGAGAATAATTCTAAATTATAATTTTAAATATATGAACTAAACATCTACTAGGATAATAGCGGTTGTCACAGTTGGAACAACCCCCTAGAAAATTCAACAATACAAATACGTCCTTAAAAAAAAAAAAAAAGATAACGTAAAAAATAAAATAAAAATATCAGTTACAAACACGCTTTTCTCTCTAAGAGAAGACTCAGGCCCCATTTATTTTACCGATTCGAGTTTAAAATTTGAGTTTTGCTATAGTAAAAATCTCTCAGAAACAGTCACATCTACTTTTTTTACTACAATAAAAAGCTCTTACATAAAGTCACATCTCAACTCGAATCAGTGAACTAAACAAGCCCTTAACTTCAACAGCTTGTATCACACAAGAGGCGTCAACTTCCGCAAGAGAGATACGAAGGCCACATTGGTAAGCGAATGAAAGACCTTCTCTCAGAGCAAGACATGCAGCAATAAAGCTGGGAGAGAATGAGCCATCAAGCGGTTTAGAAAGACATGCCAAAACCACACTTGAAGCGTCTCTAATCACCGCTCCCACACCAATAAAATTACCCTAGCCTGACCGTACAAAAGCATCCGTGTTCAATTTCAGTTTGTTCTAAGACATCCTAACAGACCGGTAGACATGAACCTTGTTCCTATATGACCCAATTAATTCGATTAGGCACTCGCCTTCTAATTTTATTGTTCTACTGGCAATACGAAAAAACCAAAAGCTCTGCCCTTCCTACCTTATATTTTAGATTTATTCAGAAAATAACTGTTAATTTTTTATTGCTGCAAATGTATGCCCTCAAATTACGTTTAATAAGTAAATTTATACTTTTTTGTAGTCAACACTCAATTTTTTTTAAATGGTGAAATTACCAAATTAATCTCCATAGAGTGATCTAATTTTATACGTTTGCAACAATAAAAAAAATAAAGGTCACCACCACTAAAATCAATTTGGTAATTTCAAAGGTTAAAATTTTGTGTTGTCAAAGAAAAATATACAAATTTACCTATTAAATGTAATTTGACAGTATTGACATGTGTCGTCGCAAAAAATAGTCGTGGTTGGAAGAATTTTTTAGAACTATTATTTGCGACGACAATTCACAAATATTGTCGCAAAAAATGAAGAATTTTATGGAACTTATTTTTGGGAAACCGCCACATTTTTCGCATTTTTTTGTCACGTCACTGCCAGCTGTCAACTTGAATATTAGCGACGACATGTCGTCGCAATTAATGAACAAACTAGCACCAAACATGTTAACGCCATATTAGATTTGGTGCCAATAAATATTGGCGGCGACATGCCGTCGTAAATATTCTTTCAGGATTTAGCGACGACATGTCGTCGCAAATAGTTACATGTATGCGACAACCAATCCTCGTAAATAATAAATGCGATGACACGTCGTTTAAAAATTATATTTCTTTTATTGCAACGACATATCGTCGCAAATAACTTAGTATTAACAATGACAAATGTCGTCGCTAATAATGTCAGCGTTAATAACCCTTTTTGTTATAGTGAATTTCCCATTTCGCTCAAAACCACTCAGCGAACTATCTCTGAGGTTTTTTCTAATCTCTGAGACCAACCAAACCGCTCCAATTACGAGATCAGAGTACGAGCTCGCTCTAATCTCGATGTTGAACTCTTGCTCCTCTCTCTCATGCCGTCTCCCACGGCCAACAAATCCACTCCATCGAATTGGCATCCGTGCTGGGTTCCAACACTTCTCATTGCCATAAGCTTGATTAGTATGTACGTCAGATGCGGGTTCATGTTCGATGCTTCTTGTTCCAAGCTTGACACTGTTTCTTGTAATATTATGGTTTTTGGGTATGTGAAATCTGGACAGTTGGGTGATGCCGGCCTATTGGTCATAGTAATTCTTTTTTGCAATTGGTTATTATTTTTTCAGTTCCGGAATCTAATTTATTTTATTGGTTTGTGGATGAACAAGTTTGATTATCCTTGAACGATATATTGATGTTTATGTTCCATCCAAATCCTTTCTGACCTCAATGATTACACTGATTGTGTATATACATTGAGAAAAGAAGGAAAAAAAAAAAAAAACCAAAATTTTCCCTTCATTTAAAGAAAATGACAAAATACCAGTAATACGCCTTAAATTCGACACATGTGCGTAGTGATGAATCATTTATCAAAAGAGGTAAATTACAACAGTTAAACAAGTTTAGAAAAATAATAGTCAAAATTAAAAATTTAAAAACTAATTTATTAAACCAAGTTCTAAATGTACTGAAAGCCCAAAAACAAAAGCTTCCTAAAAAAAAGAAAAAAAAAAAAAGGTTAACATAGGCGTCACTCTACTAGAGTCCAATACAAGCATTCCAAATTATAATCCACCACAACTACAAGTCGAATCATCGCCGTCAAGTTACCCAAAAAAACCTAATCGAACCATATTCAGACTCGACAAAAAAGATAAACTGATCATAATGGAAAGAGGGAAAAAAAAAAGGTAATCAAAAGGACGGTTAATGATTCCCACGGAGACGGTCGTGATTGACTCCCCATCCGCGTACCCCAAACTGCAACTCGGCGGCGGCGATGAGGAACTCCGCCGCCTGTTGTGGGGTCAGGAGGTCGACCACGCTCTGGAAGGTTCTCAGCCTTAGATCGTCAGCTTTTCTCAGAACGCTCACCAGCCGTCCGATCTTCTCTTTCAGATCAGCACGCGCATTCACCAGCTCGCTTGCACTGTCTTGCCACTCCGAAAACTCTTCCGTTATTGCATTCTCTTCTCTCACCTAATAAAAATTGAAAAAAAACAAAATTTGATCCTTCTTTTCTCATGTTACATAAAACAAATACATAAATAATTTTTATAGTAGTGTAAATTTTACTATCAGCCTCTCTTGTTGGAGTCATAGGGTTCGAATACTAATTAAATACCGTGTCGCATTGAAGTTCGCTGACACGGCGGAACTGGGAGGGGGAGAGGTCGCCGAGGTCGCCAGTGCGGAGGCCGCGGAGGATGTCAATGATGTGGGACTCGAAGAGGATGGACGATTCGGAGTACACGAGGTGGAAGACGGTGGTGGGGCGCCAGCCAGCGATCCAGTGGAGGGAGCGCTCGAGGGCGGAGGCCCACGGGGCGGCGAAGACGGAAAGGGTGTCGCGCTCCGCCGCCACCGACTTGACCCGGTAGTACTCGGCGTAGTGAGACATAACCTTGCCCACTAGCACGTCAAGGTCGTAGTGGTGGTCCGGCGTCGTTGGGGGCCGGGGCGCCGCCGTCAGCTGCCGGACCAGGTGGTGCAGCTGCTCCAACCACGTCTCGTAGAAGTTGCAAAAGCCGCCGCCGCCGCCGCTGCTCATTTTGGGTTGAGAATTAGAGAGTATAAAATATCAGTGTGAATTGTGGAGTTTTAATTGTAAGTGAATAAAGTTGTTGGTGATGTTTGGTTGTTTGTTTGTTTGTGTTTTTTTTTTTTTTTTTTTTTTTTTTTTTAGTTGTTTTCTAAGTTGCATGGTTTTGATTAACGTAAGATGCTACGTGTAGGAATGGCGGTGAAACGCGCGTAAGATGCAGTGCAGGTTTGACATGAGTTTCTTTCTTCGTTTGACAATTAGCGAGTCATTTTGTTGAGCTCGTAAATAATGATCTTATTTTCGTTGATTTAAATTTAAAATTTAAATTTTATAGCAGTAAAAATTTTTTAAAATCAGTCATATCTAATTTTTTTATTATAATAAAAAATTCTTACAAAACATCACATTTTAATTCAAATTAAGAACTCAAATTAACGAACCAAACATACCTTTAAAAGATTAAAAAAATAAATGTTTGTCGTACACTTCTTTTTTCTTTTTTCCTTTCATTTCAAGGAAAATTCATTTATCATAATGGTTTATTAAATTTTTGTTATGAATACAGGTTTATAAACATGACAGTAGCTAGCCAGATTCACCCATTATAAGTAATACCCAAAACGCCATATTGATATGCTTCTCAAAAAAAAAAAAAAAAAACCCACATTGATATGGATATCCAAACTCTACCGCTTGAACAAATCCATTAATGGCGATAAGATTCGTCATAATTTATAAAAGTTATGGGAGATAGAGTTTTCTCTGATCCATCTCTTTCCATGAATATCCCAAACTTTTAACAATTTATTAGACCAATAGAAGATCTCTCCTAAAGGATTAATCTTCAGTAGAATGTTTTCTTTTATTTTTTATCTATTTTGTTTCGTATTAAATATATACATATGTATATATATATATATATATTAATATTTAGATCGCTCTTAATTTTACCATTCCTATTTGAAGGCTTGAACTTTTGTTGGAGATCTCAAATTTTCTCTCTGAAAGTAAGAAGACATTTTAAATTTTTAACTCAATTTATTGTTTGTAATTAGTTAACTAGCCACCATTAGAACTTAACAAATATGTGCCACGCTCTATTTGTCGAGAGTAAAAGAAATTGAAAATCCAAGAAGCTAAAATTAAAAGGATTGTTTTGTTTTTTTTGTTTTTTGTTTTTTTTGGTACGAAGAAAGAGATAATAAGGTATATTGTATGAGCTTGGAAAAATGTTCCATATATTATATCTGTTAATGTTAATAAATGTTTCGTATAAATATTTTTTCGAATGAAAAATGTTTCATAGAGGTGTGGTTGCATATAGTAATTTCACACTTAGACTCCACTACAAGGTTTATGATTCGTTCATTTCACTGATTTGAGTTTAAAATTTGAGTTTTACTACAGTAAAAAACTCTCAAAAACAATCACATTTAACTTTTTTACTACAGTAAAAAACTCTTACATAAAATCACATCTCAACAAAAAAACAATCACATTTAACTTTTTTATTACAGTAAAAAACTCTTACATAAAATCACATCTCAACAAACTCGAATTAACGAACTAAACGGACTCTTAGAGTTTAAATCCCCTCACCACACCTTTAAAAGTAACAATAAAAGAAAAAGTTATGCATTGGCACGAGGTATGTTGTAGTCTTTTCCAAAGCTCTTGTTTAGGCCCCGTTCACTTCACCGATTTAAGTTTAGAATTTGAGTTTTGCTACAGTAAAAAGTTCTCAAAAATAATCACATTTAACTTTTTTGTTACAGTAAAAACCTCTCACATAAAATCACATATCAACTCGAATTACAAACTCGAATCAGTGAAGTGAACGAGCCCGTCAAATTTAAAATCTTATTTTCTACTGAACTTATATATCCAACTTGGGATCACAAGAAGCAACAGTTTTGATCGTATACCCATGTTTTGGGCTGGTAAAAGTAAAATCCAGTTTCTTTACTGCCATACAAGTTGGAACAACTGTTAGGGTTAATCCCACTTTTGATCCCCGAACTTACGAGTAAAACTAGTTCTTTTCGCAATTCAAATAACAACTCAAATTCTTTTTATTATAGTGTTATTTTCTCTCACAAAAATTTAAATTCAACTTTTTTACTCTAGTGTTTTCTCTCGTCTATAAATGTTTGAGTTGTAAAAAAAATAAAAAAATAAAAAAATAAACTCTAAATCTCATTTTGGTCTAAGCAGTAAAAAAGTCTAACGACTAGTCCATGATCTATAAAATTATCCACTAATGGCTTTCCGTCAAGAATCTAATAAAAATGGACGAGAAATGGACATGTGAGCCATAGGACATTAAAGCGTAGATATTTAAAGTAAAGTCACAAGATTGTCACCAACTTTTTAACGTATTCTTACCTGAAGGATTTAAATGAAACAATTTTACAGATCGGGAACTAGTGGGATAGTTTGAATGGCAGGGACCAAATAGGATTCACCCTTAAGTTCGAAGATTAGAAATGACATTAACCCTAATTTAACATTCGATAACACTTAAGTGTAGATTCATCTGCATACTCATCTTCTATTACAACATGTGATCCAGAAGAAAATGGAAAAAAGATTCCATAGAACAAAGTATAACTTGCATAACCGAAATGTCCCAAATCCAATTATCAAGTCTTTCTTCCAAACAGCAAATAAATGGATGCTACAATATATGGACAAAATCTTTTGAACTAATAATTTACCCTAGCGAAAACAACCTGCCCTCGTACAGCTGAATTTCTACTGAGAGTCTAAGACGTCTCTTCATGCTGCAACCGTGGCAATCCATAAAGAATAAAAAATATCAATCAAAATGTTACTGATCTTCGCTAAAAGTACACGGCAAGAACGAAAAGGTACAACAAAATAGCTTAGTGAATAAGCGAATTTCTCCTCTAGATGGAAAAAGATGTACTTATTAAAGGAACGCCATTATCAGAGGTCGATGTAACAGATCATCTAAGGGACTATTGAAATTGACTGGGCCAAGACGGGATGAACAAGAAAGGGACAGTCATATGGATTACGGCTTGGTGGGTTTCTCTAGAGTTGCCAAGAGCAACTCTTCTCAAGCTGAAAACAGGAGGCTCGCAAAAGGGGGCTCAGTGGAAAAAAAAAAAAAAAAGAAAAGACATTGTGATCCCGGCTATGTAGCTCAAGCAATACCCTCAAGTCCCAATAATCCAAAGGTTGAAGCGTAACACAAAGGTGGGTGTAGCTAGTTTGGTGTATGATTGACAAGCCTGTTTCCATGGCCTCCTCAGAATTGACGAAGCAAGGAAAGCAAAAAGAGAAACTCTAATATTCCAATCATGCACTGACCCAACTTATGAAATGGCTGAATTCTCAAGGTGGTCAACAAGCATTTTATGAATTCATTGTTCCCAAGTCCAAAGCGTCTGATAATCCATTCCCTCAGACCAAGTGATTTTCATTTATTGCAAGTAAACATTTTACTTTATGCAAGATAACTATTTAATTTATTCAACTTCCAAAATCAATACAATTGCAGACAGGCCCCCCTGAGCAGTGCCAAGATTTATGATTTCACCATGAAATTTTAAGAAAGATCAGTTACAAACAAGCATATACATAAAGACTTATAGCTTCAAGATTGAAGCACTTATCAAATTATTGCCTCAACAATCCACAAGGATTAAGTACACTAAGAAAATCTTAATCTACCAATAACAGCAACTCTAGAGTCAACAAGCCCACCTAAATCCAAACTGACTCATCACTTTGATAAACAAACATAGGCAAAGTTGTGGTTTACATCATTCCCTATCCAAATGAATCATTCAAAAGTTCTTTCAATTTCCTAAATGTGGTTTAGGAAGAAGGATTCTCAATGATAGATAAAAATGTTGAATTAAGCCTACCCACTTTATTTATTATTATTATTATTATTATTCTTGATAGCTTAGGGTATCCAGGCCTCTTTGAGCACCTGCCTAATCCCTAAGGGTGTGTGTAGACCCTCCTATCTGAACACACCGAGACAAACTGAGGGAGGTACCCCAAGGGGATCAAACCCAAGACCTCCCACTTGTAAGATGAGGTCCTGAGCCACTTAAGCTACCCCTTGGGGTAAGCCTACCCACTTTATTAGCAACTTAAAATTGACTTGATCAGAAACGAACTTCATCCCACTTGCAATAGCCGTTGCCTGTTTTATTAACGGTCAGAGATCACAAAGTAAATATTCTTGTAGTTACTTTCCAGTTTCTAGAATCACTCTCTTAACTATAGAGTTGGTGTTTGCCTCATAATCTAGTTTGTGAAAAAAAAAAGAGGAAAAAAACCAAGCTTTGAAAGCACTGATAAGAAATACAAGATACATCTTTGTACATCCATGTAAACATTCCCCCTATATGAAATATCTAAGATAACTAGGGGTTGGAGTCAGATCACTCGTTCCATTTTGGTATTCCAGATGATGTCTAACCAATCACATAATGAAATGTCAATTAAAAATTTGAAATGCTTTTTAAATGACTATTACATGCTATTCCATCCGAGTCCATTAAATAACGTAATATTATGTGATGGGTTAGACATTATCTGGGAACCACAATATTGGACAGGGGAATCCAAATCCCTAGACGTTGTTCCTACATTGGAAAGCCACTTTTTCATACACATAAACACATTTATATATATTTTCTGTTAAATTTAATCGACATTCATCTTGGCATGATGCAATTCTCTTTCGATCTTGTTCTTTTCCAATTTCCTCTCTTATCGAACTCTGCTACTAGTGTGTAACTTTTTATTATTTCTTATATTGTCTTAGTATATCAAAAAAAAAAAAAAAAGTCTTGAATTCACCTTTCACTTTCATATGCCTGAAAATCCCAAATCTTCAGTATCAGTATTCAATAATACGACTCTGTGAACAAAACCCATATCATAGATAATCTATCAAACGGGAAACCAAAGTTACATCGATCACCATTATCTCCAGTATGAGTTAATTACATTTGAAAGTTGTAAAATCCCAATAAAGAGAAAAAAAAAAAAACCTGGAGATGATTTTATTGTTGGTTGCT